GTCTATATTTTCTTGCATCTTGCTGAGTATTTATTGAACTACAATCTTGAAATCTGTTATTTATGTCACATATTTCTATGTGTACCAGCTTGGTTTCTGGGGATTTTTCATTTTCTTTCTGATCACCTTTGCTCTTCTCCTTTGTCTAGGCATGTGTATCTGTCTATATGAATGGCTTCTATAGCAGCTTCCTCTAAAGAGTTCTTTCTACTATTTTCCAGTAGATGGTGCTGAATTGAAAGATTTTTTTTTTTTTACCTCTGATTTCTCAGACTTGACCTCCCTGGCTTTCCTAAAACGATACAGCTGCACTGCTTGGGGATGGGGTTTGGTTTACCTTCACTATAATGGCAACCCCTGACCTCCGTGGGGTCCCACTCCAAGCACCCCACCTGGGGATCAATCACAGAGGGAAACAGTGGTTCTACTGCAATAACTCTTGGTTCACAGACAGTATGCTCCTTGGGCTACTGGAGGTGAGTTTTGGGAGTCCAAGGGGTGGCAGGGCTTTGTGGTTCCATTTCTTGTCTGAAACACCACCACCCGGCCCAGTAGTGGAGAGACACATGATAGAACCCTGTTCTCTGTCAGACATCCACTGGCTCAGTCACCTTTAGTTCCTCTTGCCTGTGGGACAGCCCTTCCCCCGAAGCTCTCTGTCCTCCTGGCTGAAGGAAGTGCCTGCTACCCCTGGCTTCCTCCCCTCTCCAGGCCATGCCATGAGCTCCTGGCTACAGGGCTGCACCAGTGGGCTATCTACACGATCCTCCCTTCTTGTCTTCCATTTATGTCTTCCTGGTTGCCCACCTTAAGATGTTTCAGTGTGCAGTTCTCCCAGGCATGCCTTTGTATTGAGTAGGGAATTCTTTGTTGAATGATAGTTGATTAACTTGTTGAAATTTCAGGGGTAAAGGCCAAGGGGATCTCTCATGCCACCATTCCTCTGACCTGCTTTTATAACTGAAAGAACTTTTTTCATTTTCCTTTGTTTACTATTACAGTCATGCATCACTCAACTACAAGAAATGCCTCATAGGCAATTTTGTTGTTGTGCAAACATCATAGAGTGCACTTACACAAACCTCGGTGATATAGCCCACTACACGCCTGGGATATGTGGTATAGCTTATCACTCCTAGGCCTCAAGCCTATAAGAGAGTCTAGCAAAATTATAAGATCCAGCAGGGGTCCTCAAACTATGGCCCGCGGGCCACATGCAAATACAAATATTATATTTGTTCCCGCTTTGTTTTTTTACTTCAAAATAAGATATGTGCAGTGTGCATAGGAATTTGTTCATAGTTTTTTTTTAAACTATAGTCCGGCCCTCCAACCGTCTGAGGGACAGTGAACTGGTCCCCTGTTTTAAAAGTTTGAGGACCCCTGATATACAGCATGTTACTGCATGAATAGCGTAGATAGTTGTAATGTGTTGCACTATGATGTTACAATGGCTATAACCTCACTAGGTGATGGGAATTTTTCAGCTCCATTATAATCTAAGTGGGACCACCACTGTAGATGCAGTCTGCCATTGACCAAATGTAGTTAGGCGGTGCATGGCCATATGGTCATGATGTGGTGCAGGACAGTGGATTTTTGTATGTTAGTCTTGGATCTTATAATTTTGCTAGACACTCTTATTTGTTCTAATAGCTTTTTTGTTGATTCTACATACAAAACCACGACATCTGTAAATGAGGACAGTTTTATTTCTTCCTTTCCAACATTATGGCTTTATGTCTTTTTCCGCACTGTCCTGAGCTTCCAGTACGGTGTGGAGGAGGAGTGGCAAAAGTGAACATTCTTGCCATGGGATTCCTTCAGAACAATGACTTCTAAAGACTGTTTTAGGAAGATTGTAGTGTGCCACTATAAAGAGGGAGGAGCTAGAGTTATGAGACAGCTGAGAAGACAGAGGAACCCTCTTTGCCCACCACTTCCCATCCTTCCAGCCACCACTCAATCATCCCACTCCACCCATATTTAGTTCCCAGCCACCTGTGACTCCTCTGCTCAGCCCTTCCCCATTAACCCCATGAGGTCTACCTGTCTTCTCCCTCAAGCTTCAGCCCATCATTTCAGCCTCTTTGGGGGCGGCATTCTCCCTTCCTACATCCTGTGGCTCACCCTTCCTCCACTGCTCAGAATGTCCCCACCCATACCCCCCAATCCAGGACCTTCAGCCTAAGAAACCTAAATGTAGTTTGCACTCTGTGATTCACCAGGCAGGGCTCTTTTCCCGCTGCCTGCAGGCCCCATTTCAGGTACCTCCATCCTACCGACCTCCTGTGACACAACTTGCTCAGTGCTTGATAGCAAGGGCTCTGGAGCCAGAGTACATACACTCAAACCACAGCTCTATGACATACCAACAGGGGGATCTTGGGTATATTACTTAGCCACCTGGTCCACCTGGTGCCTCCTGGGTTAATATGCATAAGTCACAGAACTGTGGCTGGTACAAGTAAGTGCTGTATGCACTGTTGTTATTGTTACCACTCCTTCCCCTCATCCTGTACACATGTTCATGCCTCTCTCATCTTAAAAAGTGAAGCAAAACCCTCCCTTAACATCACAGGCGTTCACTTCACCTGCGTACTCTCCCCTCCAGCTCAGCGAAATGTACTGAAAGAGCTGCCTGTGCTCATTAGTGCCATTTTTCTTTCTTTCTTTTTTTAAAAAAATATATTTTATTGATTTTTTACAGAGAGGAAGGGAGAGGGATAGTTAGAAACATCAATGAGAGAGAAACATCGATCAGCTGCCTCCTGCACATCTCCCACTGGGGATGTGCCCGCAACCCAGGTACATGCCCCTGACCGGAATCGAACCTGGGACCCTTCAGTCTGCAGGCCGATGCTCTATCCACTGAGCCAAACCGGTCAGGGCATTAGTGCCATTTTTCGCTGTCCTTCGCCCAGGCTCTTTCCTCAGTGTCACCTGGTGCTGCACCTCCAGGTGGCCAAGCTGGCAGGCAGCCCTCAGACCAAATCTTCCCGGCTGCACACAGCGGCACCTGAAACGGGACACACCTGCAGTGGCCCCGCCCCAGCCACTGAGGCCCAGGGGCCACTCTGCCTGCGGTCTTGGCCTGGGCCTGCTCTTCCACCAGCACAGCGCCTGAGACATTGTTGAGGCCCCAACATATTTATGAGTAAATGAGTGAACCTACAAAGAAAGGAATCAGCAATGTGTTGGAAGAGAAGGAGAGAGGGAGGGAAAAGCCTGATGCCTGTCTGGGGGAGGGGGAGAGAGCCCAGGCAGCAGGGGGTTGGGCAGGAGATGGGGTGAGAAGACGCCTACTTGGTTGTGGTCCTGTGGACTGTAGGGGCATTTGAAACATGGGGTTGGGGCAGGAGACCCAGGTCTGGAGCCAGTGAGAGAGGACAGTTTGGAAACTTCAGAGCTGCTGCATTCCATTCACGTCTCAGAGGGTCCTATGTGGGGAGAGAGAGGAAGGTGGTCTGCTTTATTAATCAGGTCTTAGCTTCTATATTTGTTACAATGTTCAAACTGCAGGCTCAGAGGCCGGCAAGGCAGGCAGGGACCGTTGGAGTCCTCCGTCACTGAAGCAAGCAAGCCTCATGTTCAGTTTAAGCTGCCTGGCTGCCGGCTGCCATCTTGGCTGGCAGTTAATTTGCATATTGCCCTGATTAGCCAATGGGAAGGGTAGCGGTCATATGCCAATTACCATGTTTCTCTTTTATTAGATAGGATGATCATGCCTTTAAGCACTGAATCATAGACATTTTCCTATACTTCATATGCATCTAATACATCAACATTTATTTCTCTATAATTCTGATTGTCAACTTGATCAAGCTCTTTGAGCCATTTAATTAAAATTGTGAATAGAGTGCCAATCTCCCTCGAGTGCTTTAAGCATCTTTAAGCAGGCAGAACTCAAGTATCTCAGTGGTTAGTGTTGCTCTTTGGAGCCATCTTGACTTTTCCGATCCCAGGCATCAGCTGCCCTGCAGGCAATCCTGGTTCCTTCAGGTGGAGAAGACTGTTGGAGATCAAAGTCTTAAGGACAGGGACGGGGTGTAGGGGAGCTGGTGGGGGGCAGAGCTTTGGTGATGACCAACATTTTGTCGCTGAGGCTCTTGAAGTCGGAGTGAGCCTTGGCTTATGCTGGGGAGTCAGATGGGGCTCAGGAAGGCCCAAGGCTCATGGATGGAGGAGGGACAAGGGAGGGAGAGAACCTGGTCAAGAGTGCGCCTGGGGCGGACTTGCCCTTCCCTGCGTTGGGTGCTCAGGCCCTTCAGCCCAGGTTCCCCAGGGCCGTGTGACTTTGGTTAGGGCCATGGTCGGCAAACTACGGCTCGCGAGCCTCATGCGGCGCTTTGGCCCCTTGAGTGTGGCTCTTCCTAAGCCTTAGGAGTACCCTAATTAAGTTAATAACAATGTACCTACCTATATAGTTTAAGTTTTAAAAAATTGGCTCTCAAAAGAAATTTCAATCATTGTACTGTTGATATTTGGCTCTGTTGACTAATGAATTTGCCGACCACTGGGTTAGGGAAATAGGATAGGGCTCCATACAACCGCCCGTCCAGACAGTGAAATTCAGGGAAGGCACATGTTTAGAAAAAAATGAGAGGTAAGAAAGTAGAGAAGTGGGGGAGCAGGATGTGTGGATATGGAACTGTCTCTGGAGCAGTTTGTCAGCCAACGGAAGATTTGAAGGTCTACCTGGAAGGACATAGTGGGAGAATATGTGTGGCCAAAGGAGACAGAGGTGGGGAAGGTGCTGCCGAATGGGGTACAAGGGGATGGGAAGGATCCCTGAGAAGGCAGGAGAGGTGGGTGCAGTGCCAGGGTCGCCTGGACAGAGCAACTCAGAATTGGGTAGGGGAGACCTCAGCTCACTCTTGGGCCTCTCTGCCCTCTGAGTTTGCAGCAGCCCTGGGCTGGGCTGGGAGGGAGGGCCAGTGGGGTGGTCTGCCCAGTTCTGCTGGCTCTGAGCTCCTCTTTCCATCTACACCCCTCTCCAGCGCCGATACCTGTGGGGATACAACCCCTTTGACCAGGGCTGCGCCAGCAACTGGTATTTAGCAATTTGTGCACCGCTGGGACCCAAGTAAGTTGGCAAACCAGAGGTCCAAGCAGTGGCCCATGGAGCCGGTGGGGTGGGGGGAAGCTGGGCCATCTCTCCTGGCCTCTTAGCACAGTTCCCAGACCCTCACACTCACTGTTCTCTGAGGTTTCCTTCAGGGCGTTGTGGGAGCTTCTGGAGCCTTCCTACTCCCTTTCATTCCTGTCCTAAGAAATGGAGTAGAGGGATATGCAGGCCGGATAAGACCAGCCCCAGCTCCCTGCAGGGCCACGCCCTGGGCTGTGTGTCCCCTAAGCTGAGGAGGCATGGGGACCAGGCCAGGGGGGCCACTACCCCTTGCATCTGGCTTATTGCTCCCCAGGTACATGGCCAAAGCTGTCTGGCTGCAGCGGGTGGTGGAGCCGGACTGGGTGTTCATGCAGAACCTGCATTGCCCAACCTGCCCCTCTGCACTCAGCCCCTCAGTCGTCCCTGGACCTGCGTCTGGCCACCAGCCCCAACCTCTGGCTCCCCACAGACCAGGAAATGCTCCCCCCGGGAGTGGGGAGGTGGCAGCCCTCCAGGAGGTGAGTAGTGTGTTCTGGGAGAGGGGTGGCTTTGGATTATACAGGTGCTGGGGGGAAGCCCCGCCCCCCCATATTGGGCTGGCTCTGAAGCTACAGCGCTCAAAGCTCGAGGGAGGGGCGTATAGACGGAGGAGTGCTGGAGGTGGGCCACAGTCCTCCAAGTAACACCAGGGGTTCCTGGAGACACAAAGCCCACACCCCTCACTGCTGGCTAGTCTTGGGCGGTCACTTACCCTTTCTGAGCCTCAGCTCCCTCACCTGTAATGAGGACTGAAACGAGCCCGATGGTTTATAACTTAGGGGGTCAGTTTCCTTTATTTAAAATCATTTTTCTTCTCTGAAGTCCAATGGGGGTGCCATGACATTCTATGGTGGCAGCTCTTTGAGCCCGACTATGGGCCCCACTCCCTTTGCTCTGCCTGGAGGTGGTGGCGGCTGGACAGTTTCTTGCTCCCCAGCAGGTGGGCCCTGAGCTGTGGGGCAGGGGCTTGGGAAAAGACCCCACACCCCCACTTCGTTTAGCTCCACGCAGGCCCAGTGCTGCCCCTGCCGCGGGAGGCCCCCAGATGAGGCGTGCCCCTTCACACCCAGCGATGCCCGATGCCAGGAGTCCCTGCCCCCGAACCTCACCTCCTGAGCCCCGCCCTTGGTGGGAATTCCAAGACCATTCCCCCCCGCCCCCGCCCCCACCAAAGCCCATTAAACACTCTTTTCCTGCTGTACAACTGCCCTGCTGCGTGTGTCTGTCCTGGGTGTGAGGGGCTGGGACAAAGACCCTGGGAGGGAGGAAGGCCCAACACTAGTTGGCTCTGTGACCTTGGGCAAGACACTCAGATTTCTCTCGTTCTTAAAACGGGGCCAACCATAAAAGCCACAGTAGCTGTCCTGGCCGCCGGCCTCCAAGGGGAAACCCCCACACTGTCAGGGAGGTCAGCCTCGGGAGAGGTCCGGCCCCGCCCTGCCACACCGCCGTCTGGCTGCAGGGGGCGCCCGCTGCCTGGGAATTCGCCAAGCCGGACCTGGCCCAACCCGAGGCCTTGGAGCCACCTGGGTGGGTGGGGCTGGTCCTCGGTCTGGGAGTGGGCCCTCCGGATCCTCATCCCTGGAGGTGGAGAGTGGGGGTCTCCACCATGGTCCGGCCCTGCTTCTTCCTGCTAGCGGGTCTCACCTTGGTCCCCCCTTCTGGGTAGTCAGGTCCTGTTCCTGCGGAGGCCCCAGGCCCTGGGAGCCCGCAGGCCCCTTGAGGGGGTGGTGTATGCGGGAGTCCACAGGAGACTGCGGCTCCTCTGGGAAATAATGGCACCTTCCTGAAAGGTGGTGGGGCTGGAGGAGTGAGGTGGTTCCTGCAAAACAGGTGGCACACAGTAGGCGCACAGTGAACGCAGCAGTATGATTGTCGTTATTTTCTCCACCACACAGCTAACAACGCCCAGGGTTTCTCCAAAGACCACCTTCTCAGAATTACCTGGGCCCCCGGCCACCGAGCC